TAGGTCATATACTGACTGACAAAAAAGGTAAACACCCTAAGTATTGTAACTGAGAAAAGTTAAAAAATGTGTTTGGAGGATGTATGACATGTAAATCACAAAAAACAAGTCACTAATTTCCGTCTGTCTGTTTGTCTATCGGTCTGTCCGCTAATCTTATAACCTGCTATAACTTGAGAAGTACCGCTCGGATTTTGAAGAAATTCCCATACAAGGTTGCTAATATGCCAAGGACAAAAAAGCTTCATAGTTTTTGAAAATCGGTCCAGTGGCGACGGTGAAAAAAGCCAAAAACGAAAAATAAATGGGGGCTGATCTTTGTCAGAAAAATATTTGTAGGGGTTAAAATTCGAGGGTTGCGGGCTGTAGAGGGTGGGAGGGTAAATTTTATTGATTCAAGATCGCTACCAACCCCGGTAATTCTATTCAAACATCAGAGGTTTCACCTGATATCTAAGCTTACCGTCCTAAAAAACATAATACACGGACCATGCACGAAATAAACGATAACTCGCTACAGACGTAGAAAGGGACAACGTTGCCAGATGGACGGTAACTACCGGTAGGGCAGGGAAAGAATGTGTATAGACTAATTGCAGAAATTATGACTACGGTGTTGCGTAGGCTTAGTAAGTCAACTTACATGACGCCATTTTTCAGTATACCAGTAGCACTAGTGGAGTCCTATCAGCATGAAAAACAGATAAGCTTCAGGTATTGCATTAAGCTTTAACACCCTGTATCATGCAAAGGACGTATTTTCAGGCCTATGGTTATATGCATTATTTTCTTATTTTTCTTTGTCGAATCGAATTTTTTCCTATCAACATTCTGTAACACCATGTATTTATTGCGTTGTGCCAGTCCCCCCTTGGAACTTTTTGGTGGGCGCCCGTTTTGGCAGCAACAGCGATATCCGCTTTGAAGATGAGGTAGAAAAGAGGGAAGGGGGAAAGAAAAGGGAAGGGAAAGGCGACGTGTGAGGGGGAAAGCGATAACTCGAGAGCAGTCATCGTCAACACAGTCGCGTGCTCTCAGAGTCCAGGTGCATGCGGACCATTGGCACAGAAAACGAGGATAGCAAAGCTAAGGAGGGTTTTACCTATTACGTTCATAAGCGAGAATATGATGCCGATCATCACGTATACAAAAAAGGCTCCACGTACGCTAAGACTGCACTTTCTACGCTGTTCCGGAAGGAGTGTGTTCGGTACAAGTTAGTTGCTCTGAAAAACGAGATAAGGGTGGATCTCACAAGGATTGTCAAATCAACAGTCCGTTATTCTCCACCTATAGGGTAACAGCGAATGAGCTTCAAGTTCCAATCAACAAACTTTAGCAACCAATAGCTATGAAATGTTGAAAACAAAATACTGTCAAAGTATGAGATGACAGCTTGTCATTGCAACATCGCCAGCTTATTGAATATTAAGAAATTACATATGATTTAGTCGAAATTTAAGTGTTCGATTTTTGAATAAAATTCATGTTTATATTATTTTCTTCAATTGATATGCGATTTTACTGATTCAACATCACCTACCGTGTGTTTTTACCTATAAACCTCTTGCAGACAGCCATTAAGCACCTACTTGATGACAGGCTCTACCAAAAATTTCATAGATAGTGCTCGTTTCCAAACATTCATTCATTTACTTGCCGTTATAGCACCGTCGATTGATATTCCCACAAAACCATTCAGGATTTTTGATATCCATAAAGACAAATATTTTTTGGTTGTTCAGGAACCGAACAAACATCCACACTATATTTACAGTGATTAAGAAATACTCAAATATATGTCGTAAAGCTACCGGCAAACTTAAAACCTGCAAAATTATAGAATTTGCAATATCTTTCTTGTTTCACTGAGTACACATTCTAGGTTATATTTATGTTGGACGTTATTTGAATAACAGCTGATTATTACATTTCAAAACTCCCCAACGAGTGACACATGTGCGGGATCCGTCAACTATGCTTTATAAGACTATACGTGCTTATAAAACTATAGTAACACTGTGTGAGAAATTCATTTAAATCAAGGCAGTCATTTTCAAGTTGCAACATCCAAAAGCATATCTCATTTTTGGTCCTTTTCGCGATTAGAGTACTTTCTCGCCAGTGGTACTGGAAGTAAAATGGTTACCGCTTTAGCCTGTGGAAAAATTAACTATGATACTTTAATTCCATTTGAAACACGTAACATAGTGTGTGGTTAATTGACCTTGATTTCGGGCTTGCATAATTGTCATGGCTTCAATCGGTAAAATGCAGAGAGGCTCTGGGCCCAGACCTCTGTGTCCATCAGCGCCTTTACTAGAGAGAAGATTACCCTTAGATTGTGAGTGATCCTTCTAATTATTTTATCTCACGAGAAATTATCTTTTTCAGATGAATTGGAACAAGAGAGCCATACACAAACTGGATCGGGTGAGTGAATATAATGATGATAATATTCTGTTTTTATTTAATGCTTTTCCTTCGCATTTTTTTGTAGCATCAAAAAACAATGTGATTTCCTCTTCGTTGGCTAAGAAGCTCTTTGGAAGACATCAGGGTCGTATTTTTTTCGAGCTACATACAGCAATTATCCGGTTTCTTTTATAGTCAATATCTTCTGCTAGGTGGCATTGTTGCTTCTAGATAAATGGTTAAAACCCAGTGCAGTACAAGACACTTTTACCCCGACTGCATCCATGGTTTTAGACACAATGTCTACAAAAAGTTGATCGAGATTGCAAAAGGTTGCTGCTGAGCATCAACTGATAGAATGTCAGTGGAGTTGGTCGCGATAAAATGGCGTCATATAAGTAAATAAATAATAAATAAAATGAATAAAATAAATAAAATAAATAAAATAGATAAAATAAATGAAATAAATGAAATAAATAAAATAAAAAAAATGAATAAAATGAATAAAATGAATAAAATGAATAAAATGAATAAAATGAATAAAATGAATAAAATGAATAAAATGAATAAAATGAATAAAATGAATAAAATGAATAAAATGAATAAAATGAATAAAATAAATAAAATAAATAAAATAAATAAAATAAATGAAATAAATGAAATAAATAAAATAAATAAATAAATAAATAAAATAAATAAAATAAATAAAATAAATAAAATAAATAAAATAAATAAAATAAATAAAATAAATAAATAAATAATAAATAAATAAATAAATAAAATAAATAAAATAAATAAAATAATAAAATAAATAAAATAAATAAAATAAATAAAATAAATAAAATAAATAAAATAAATAAAATAAATAAAATAAATAAATAATAAATAAATAAATAAATAAATAAATAAATAAAATAAATAAAATAAATAAAATAAATGATAGTAACGCTACTACAACTCGAGATCGAGATGACCAGCGGAGAAGTCATATGCAGACAGAGTTTGCTGAACACAGGAAAGAGACCCGCGACCAATGTCCGATTCGCGTCTGTAAATATTTGACTGTTTTAAGAGCAATTGTACACGGAAATCTATGCTATGTGAAATATGTATGTCTAATAGGTGCGTAGAATTACTGGTGTTGGAACTACATTAATATACCTACTAACATCAAAAGATTCTATATTATAGACGGGCCAAGGATTCTCGGACAGACTGACAGTTAGAACTATGCGACATTTGCGACTTCAGGGTGCTACAAATCAATTTTCTTTATAGGTGGCCAAATGCGAACGGTGCTCTGAACATGCAGGTAATTTGGGGCGCTGAATTTGAATATAGTGAAAAAAACCTTAAAGGGCCACGGTGCCGAATTAGTCTAAAAAATTGGTAAAAAAATAGGCGAGGCCAGTCGTGGATTCTCGCACTAAATTGACATCGAATTCGGAATCTACGCACCCGATTCACCTAGAAAACAAGCTCATGTGTTTGTTTAGATGGCCATTTTTAGGAGAGGTTATATGCGTTACTGATCTAGTCCAAAGCAACAGCAGCAGAGTTGAATGGAAGGTGGCTGTGTGAAGCTGCCACGATCTCGGTCAGTTATAAATACGTTCATCTTAAGGGCAATAACTCTGTTTTGGCAGAATCGAAACGGAAGCTCCAGCGTAGACGGCCAGTACGCAACGCATGACCACCAAATTCAATTTTATTTTCGTCGATAACTAAATTATTTTTGTTATATGGCGTTACAAAATTAGCGAACTCCTGCTCCTGGCTCAATGTCTGGTGGATTGAGGCATTGCTAAGGCGAGGTGAAAATCTCGCTTCTTTGAGCTCCTCATAGCAACCGCGGTGCCCTGGTATCTAGGCTCCTGTCTAGGCGGATGGCGCAGTATGAAAAAATTAAATTAAAATTCAAAGCTTCCCCTACAAAACCCCGAAAAGACTCATGGACTTATTTTTTATCTCATCTGAAAAATGTGTTTTGTGACAGAGTGACGGCTGAGTGCCTCAGCGTAAATGGACTACGAACGGGGAATAGCTTATTAGCCTTTAGGGCACTGCTCAAGAGATTACACAATTTAGTTTATATCAAAAGAGATATAATTGTCAGTTTGGAACTTTTTTCCTAACCTCAAATGCTGTACGGCCCAAATATGCAACTGCTGATGTTGCCAAATATGTCATATTATGACGCACAATGTTTCCATCGGGTTTAGTTCAATAGTTCAAAAACTGGTTGTTTGGGCACCAAAATAAAGTTTTATTTCTCCACCGCCCAATAGTTTGCCAAGTGAAAGATGTCGGAAAATCCCTCCGGCTCATAACTGATCGACGTTGTGTGCATTGCACCCCTAGCCGGAATACCAAGACTATTAGATTTGTACCGCATTGATGAGCTGCTAACGAGCTCGTAACAGCGCTGTCTGCGGTTGGTCGTGGTTACAGAGACGGAACTCAAACACGTTCATTTCACTAGAGAAGTGTCGATAGCTTTTAGGGCAACGCGCGGCAGATTACACGGTTTAGGGAACTGTCAGTTTTAAATTTAAATTTTTCTTAACCTCAAATAACCCGCGGGCCGCGCCTCATGAGTGCAATTGCTGCTGTTGGCAGATGGCGGCCAATGTTTGCATCCGGTTCTTGGGGTAATAGTTCAACCACCGGTTGTTTGGGCGCCAAAATAAAATTTTATTTTAAGCGGTCAGTGAAATTATTTTTGTTATATGGCGCTACAAAATTAGCCACTACCGACCGAATGTTAGACAGCGTAAGTTGCAAGGTGCCCACAACGTATGTATACATATACGCATCGTTCCTTCCTTCCTGAAAATCGTACAGAAGTTCACTATAACTATTAGGTTATCACGGCACGCGTACACGGCACGGGGGAGACATGGAAAGAGAGAGTGAGAGAAAGACAGTGAGAGAGTAAGTAGCAAGTGAGCGAACTGTAACAGGATGCAGTTGGCAGTGAGATCGCTCCTTTTAAGGCATCGCCTGACCGGCTGGGTCTGACTTAAGCACTTGAGAAGGGGTCCTGAGCGAGCTTCCCGCTCTTGCTCAGCCGGCGTTGCGACGCCATGCGGTCGCCGTCGTTTGTTCCATGGCTTGCTGATCTTGGCGTCTACCACACACCCGACGTGTGACGTTGACGCTTGGCGATCCTGCCTGCCACGCCACAGCCGCTGAAGCGCAGCGGCGTAACTTCAAGCATTGATTAATATAAACCTAAACGAAATTTTCAGCCGAAGTCTGTTTACACGCGTCAACTCCCAAATATGTCACATATGTGACTACAGGGTTAGTTGCTCCGGGCTGAGCAGACTCTCGCTTGTACGCTGCAAAGGGCTGTTAAAGGAATCATCATAGACCAGACTTTGTTTTGAGCCTTGGTCCGCACATCGTAATAATAGAGCCTCGTCACCTGTCACGATGCTGGTCACATATCGAGATTGCCCCTTATCAAACATTTTCAGCATCTTTCGGCACCAAGTCGTACGGCGAGTCTTCTGCTCTTCCGTCAGACTCTGCGATACCCAGAGAGGACAAAGTTTCCTTACGTGTAAATGGTCATGCAGAACTGAATGAACTGCTGGTGCATGCAGGTGCAAGGTCTCCTCTATCTGTTGGTATGTCACTCTTCAGTTTTCGTCGCGCATTTTCTTCACAGCAGTAATGTTTTCGTCTGTTACTGACGTTCGCGGCCTTCCTCCCGTCTGAGCGTCCCCCAGACAGAAATTGCCCCTTTGGAGTTCTCTGTACCACCTGAATATAGTCGTACGATGCCAGCGTCATTTTTTCTATGCTTAAACCACGCGTAAAGTTATACCGTAAAACTGCCCTTATCTCACTACGCACTTTACATTGTCAATACGAATGAACAACTAAATCAACAGACGTGCAGCCTCCTCCGTCCGTTTGTTAAGTCATATTGCAAAACTTTTATGGTACTCCACAAGTAAACACTGTATTGGACATAAAGGCTTAGAAAAGGGGTACTTGGTACACTGTATGGATGCCAAGCTAGGAAGAAAATGGAGACGTGGGTTGCAAGACAACACTCTCAGAAATGGAGAAGTATCTCCAGACATCTCCGCCAGGCTCGGGAACGCATTGAAGGGCCCAGTGCTAAGGATGGACGCTTCTGCCTATCTCTGGATAGAGCCAACCTAAGGTTGCTGGTGGGACTGTTGTCTGGCCATAACACGTTAAGGCGCCTCCTGCTCCTGCACGTGATGGCGGTGGCTGAGGATCCCTTGTGTGAGCGCTGCGGGGTAGAGAAAGAGACCTCGGTGCACGTTCTGTGTAGCTGTGAAGCTACAAGGTACTACAGGCAGACTATACTGGGGTCCACCACTTTGGACCTCCAGGACGCCAAGGAGCTTGGACTCAAGGCCATAGTCAACTTCGCTAGAAAGGCGAGTCTTGAGGCCTAAGGAATGTAGAGGTGTATAAGAGCCCGTTTAAGCGGTCCTTTCGCTGGTTCCTTATGGTGACCGGAATGCGTCTAACTTCACGATTCATTCATTCATCTGCCAAGGAAGCGACCATGCAGTGATGCCAATCTGACAAAATGGTTAGTAACTGCTACATTTGTACTGCGCGGAATGAAGTCCATACAGTATCAGATCTAACAACTACATCGTTCCGGATTGTACTAGATAGACTAGATGTGGTAGTAATTACTGTCGCATTTTTTTTAATGTCGTAGTTTTGTAAGAATCGTGACGACATGACTTTTTAAATGACTTTAAAAACGACCCTACTAGTTTAGATGGATTTTTAGACAATGATTTTAGTGACAAGCCATATGTGATAATTCAGTTTGTTGTTCAGTGTGTTGTGTATTTATTGATTTTTGTCTGCCCATTACTTTTTTATCTCTTATTTTATCTTATTTACTAATGATTTGTAGTGTTTGTCATTTTTTTTCCTACTTTATTTAACTTTAATACCAATTACTTGGATAACCACATTTTATATGATGATACGAATAAATTATTACTACTACCAAGATCAGCCTTGTATCACTGATTTTCGATAAACCTTTACATGTAGTTAATGAAGTTACTTGGCGCATTTTTTTTTTAATTCGGAAACGGAATAAAATCCGTTGTTTATTTTATTGCATTGCTGGTTCTGCCTGTAGTATATTTTTTTGGCACAGAGAACCCCAGCGCATGCTCTCTTTGAAATAAACTGGCTACTGTACATTTTCATAAGAAAATCTTTGAAGTTGGTGCTATATTTATATTTGCACAGCGGCGTAACATCAAATAATATAGGGTGAATATCCCTACACTTTAATATTATAAATGAGAAAATGTGGATGTTTGTTACTCAGTCATGTCACTATGAGCAATACTCGAGGCTAGGTCTTATTTGGGCTTTGTACGGAGTGAGGAGGTCATGTGGAGAAAACTACTTCTTAGCGCTAAACAAATAGCGTAGCTTTTTTTCCTACATAAACAATTATTCTGAAATGTGAAAAAAGTTATAGTAGAACTTGTTTGATCATATACTAAGTGACATATAAATCCGAACACCCAGTTTAAATGGTTTTATTTTAATAAAATTTTGTATAAGTACTTAATGAAGCATAATAAGTAAATGATAAAAATTTCAAAATGATTGCACTGCTTTAAAGCCCTTTAACCTTTAATAATGTGTGGATGCACCCTGATGTGCTACGCATTCTCCAACGCGCCTAGGCATGCTTCTGATCAGGTGGTCAATGTCCTCCTGTAGTATCTCATTCCAGGCAACCACCAACTCCTCTCGAAGTGCTTCTAGAGTCTGAGGAGGACGTTGCAAATTGAGCAATCTCCTACCCATCATATCCCACACGTGCTCAATTGGGGATAAGTCGGGAGATCTTGGTGGCCGTGGTAACAATGTGACATCATTATGTTGAAAGAAGTCTATTGTGACTCTTGCAACATGTGGTCGGGCATTATCTTGTTGGGAAGTTGGATCTGCCAGGGTGTCAAGATAGGGTAAAAGATGGGGTTCTAGAACTTCGTGGATATAACGCTGCGCATTCATGTTACCTCTGATGAAGATTAAAGGTGACCTGGAACCATAAGCTATAGCACCCCAAACCATAACTCCAACAGTGTGATGAACATGTCTTTCAACAAAAAACTGTGGATTCCTCCTTTCACCACGTCGACTTCTAACCCTGGCACGACCATCGTGCATGCCTAAACAAAATCGAGACTCGTCATTAAAGACAATACTGTTCCATTCCTGATCCCAGAGTGACCGTTGTCTGCACCACTCAAGGCGATTACGTCGGTGTTCTCGAGTTAAAGGGAGGACCCAGTGTGGCCGGTATGAAAACAAGCCAAAACTTCTCATTCGTCGGTAAACACTTCGCATGCCAATAGGTCTTCCGTGTTCTGCAAACCATTCATTTGCAATGGACCTGGTAGTGGAGAAACGGTCCCTTAAGGCCAATAATCTTAGGCGGCGATCTTCACGGTCTGTTGTTCTACGGCGGCGTCCAGTGCCCCTTGCTCTTTGCGTACGGCCTTCTCGAAGCCATGCCTGACAACACCTAACCACAGTGTCTACACTTCTTTGCACTCTAACTGCAATTGCCCGAAAAGAAAGTCCAGCTTCCCGAAGTCCCACTATACGGCCCCTATCAAACTCTCTAAGTTGACGAAATCGTACAGGTCTCCGTACTCTAGGCATCGTAACCGATCGTAAAGGATGTCAAGAACCAAAATCCGCCAAAGTTGATTCTTTACTGCGGCTGAAATATTCATTTTTAGAGCGTTAGTGAATTAAAAAAAAGCAGTATAAAAACCGGAATATCCAACTGATAAGGCTGAAAATTTTTTCACTTATTATTTAGAGTAAGATAAATACATTCACCAACTTTTATTAAAATAAAACCATTTAAACTGGGTGTTCGGATTTATATGTCACTTAGTATAGTTAATGATAGAGTGTCAATTCCCTTTAGATCATTTCGAGGTTATATTTGAGGTCATTGACCGAATACTTTTGTTATCATAAAACTTTTTTTAGAACTTTTTTCCCCAAAAATGCGACTAGTTTTCAGGGTGTTGGGTATTGTCTACTAGTAAGCGTACAAATGTTTAGGTCTCGTTGTATTGTGACAGACACACACAGTGACATTTATGTTGAGATATGAAGGGTACAGGGAAAAAAGATGAATTTCACAAATTTGTTAACGCAGTACAATCCCACTGATCGTCACTAAAACATGTTTGGTCTGGTTTCACTTTCCTCTATATCAGAAAATATTTTTTTTATTTAGAATTGAACTTTTTTTCAATTTCTGATAATAAGGAATCCATGCTACTCCGTCAGATCTTTGACCCACCCTATGCAACGAGTCCAGGAATTTCCAAACTTTTAATTTCGCTTTTCTCAAAACTGTTCGTGACAGCCATCTTTTTTTCCACAAAAACCTAACTCTGCTGCTATTTTCTTGAATTAAAATTATATTGGCATACATTTCAAACCCACCTGTCATTTGGAATCGCAATCAACGAATTATGAGACGAAAAATAAACCAGAATCAAGGCTAAATAATCAGTACTGAGTAGAACACAGAGCAAAGTCTTGTCATTGGTAATTTTCCTTTGTTTCAACCTGTAGCAGATGACCTGGCACTGGTCCAAAATCGAGACCACTAAATTTAAACGGGGATGTTGGACTTTATGAACACTAAAGATGATTCACAATCATGATAATGGTGGTCAAATCTCAACAGAATAATGAGAAACTAGCTGCAAAACATAATCTCGAAAAAACAAGATCGATAATAATGCATAATAGGAATTACTGAAAGTCTTTATTGCTTGAAATTACTGTAGGCTAGTGAACTATTCATAATTAATAACCGGTCATCTAAACGATAACAAGCTAGCTTTGAATACTACAATTTTCTA